GGGGTCGAGGGGCTCGGGGGTGGAGTAGAGCTCCTCTATCCCGCTTGTCCTTTCGTGCCGCCGCGTCCGGGACTCCGTGGCCTTTGGGTCCTTCCCCTCGCCGGGGTCGCGCTGCCAGTTGCGTTCGCCGTTCCCTCAGGTGGGAAAGGCTGACGGCGCTCTGGCGCTGCGCCAAGAGAAGTGGGGGGGCACCCTCTCCCTCGCCGCCCTCTCGTCCCGTTAGCGTTATAGTGGGGGCGCGTGCCGTTTTTCTGTGGGAACAAAGCAGGCAACAGTAACGTGTTGACGAGATGCTTGTGGAGATCCTTATGCTGGGGCGAGTCGTTCGTTTGTGTCGGTTTGAAGTGGGGCGGGAAGGTGTGCCCGCAGTGGGCCCAGGACCCCCGGGGCGACCGGCCTGGGCTGCAGCAGTGTGATGGCCTGCGCCAAAGGACGGATCCAGCCTTGCGCTACGCTGCTTGAGCTGAGGGCTGGCAGAACCAGCTGCTCCTTGGCCGAGCACTTCATTGTGTTAGTGATCAGAAAACCGTGCAGGTACCTGTGAATAGACCAGAACATAGGCGGCTTGTTGCGCATGACCCTTGGGAATAGCAGCTGAACTGGAAGAACAGTTACAGAGTGGGTGAAAAATGTTTGCATGCCAGGAGACGGCCTTTTTATCTCCTACCCTATTATTTTTATCACGGAGTACTTAAGTGGTTGAATAACCAAGGTCTGGAGCTCTCAATACAGAATCAGTCATAAAATGTTTGAAGAAAACTGTTCAAAACTGAGTAACTTTCTTCTAACTCTCAGTAGAATAAATGGAGACTGATTTCCATTATTTCCTCTCCTACCTGCTCATCTTACTACCTATTTAACTTACCTTAAAACATTATTTTTAGGGTCATTTACTTCACCTTGTATAATATTAAATTGCAGGCACTTACTACTCTATATAACAATACAGCTTTATGAGTAAATATACCTGGACTTGTCTGATTAAGTTCATCCAAAGTTGACAATGGAAAGTTGAGGATGTCTGTGCTCTGAAAGCCATACTTGCTGTTTCCCTTAGTAGTGGGCAAGGAACGTGTGAGTAGCAGAAGTTACTCTTCTCCTCCATACTTCAACCTTAAAGAAAAGCCTAAGATCTTTTTTACTATTATCCAGTAAATGATGTATTAAGAGCTCAAAGATCTTTTGTGTGACACTGGAGGAGAGCATGTAAAAGAGATTGAAGAAGTAGGAGGGATCTAGACAAAATCCTCAAACAATCATTAAAAATTTTATGTGTGTTAGAAGGAGGTGACCCTGGGTGTAGCCTGTTTACTTGCCTCACAGGCCAACTGCAGAGCATCTATCCTTTGGCAACGTTGCCTGATCTGGCTGTTTCTAAACTCTCTGACAGCTGCTCAATTGAGATTTGAGTAAGATTTGCATTTCTATGGGGTTTTAGCTTGTGATCTGCATTTTCATGAGACAGCCGCAGGCATTAAGCCTTCTCAGAGAAGGACTGCACTATAACGGCAGGTTATACTCATCCAGACTAGACAACTGTTGCTTTTTGTTTTTTCTTTTAAAGGTGGACTATGAGAATAAAGTCAAGAAAGACTTAAATGGACTTCTGAAGGTGAGACAAAAACGTTACTCAAACTTAATTTAGTAACCTAGGAGCAATCAAATTGCTATGTTGCTTCTATACTGTTGTTTGATCAGAAAATACATCTATTTTTTAAAAATCTATTTATGATATGAATAAGGATTAATTCATCCCCGTTACTTAGGCAAATACGTGGCAGGAGTCGTTGCCTATTGTTTGTATGGCTACATCTTACTATTAAACATTTCATTATTAACTTGTAAACAGTATACTTGTCCTTGCACTAGTAATAATGTTGTTGGTTCTTAGTTATAGTATGTAAAATTCTTGTCTTTCACTGGTTTATTTCAGCATAAGTGTGCAAAACCAGTATTTCAAGTACTGCAATGGTTAGATTTGAAAAACTGATGTTTTAGAGCATGGCTGGATAAAGTCTTTCTGTATGTGTTAAACTGGAATGACAACAAGTGATGGAAAATGTAAAAACCAGAATTTGCAATTTTCTGTCTTGTATCTCCGAAAGGAATTAGCACAGTTTTGGCATGATGTACTTTTGCATGTTAAAATTATTCTTTTATAGGAAGCTGGGTAACTCCACAAGGAGTTAGCCATGTTAAATAAAAGTTAGCAGAGAAAAAAGTGGAGGTATTACATTACAATAATGACTATTAAAAATAAACTTTCCGCTGTTGAGCTGTGAAACTTGCTCTTGATTGAGGCTGACATCTTGCTAACATTCATAAGGGCAAGATATGTGCCAGTAAAAAATGGCAACAACTAAATTCTTTATGTAAAAAGAAAAAGCACAGAATAAGATCTTAAATGAAGAATTACTTTCTTCTTGAAGTTATATAAAAATTTTGTATCTTGGCTTTGAAAAATTAACTGCAGAGGTTTTTTTTATGTGTATATCATTGTTACTGCATACTTTCTGAGAGAACTCTTGGCTTATGTTGTTCAGAAGCCCGAGTTGCATAGCAATTTCTGTCAATAGGATTTTTTTTGCATTTTTTTTTTACTGATTGAGTGGATCTGGGAGCAAGCGGTTATACAAGCTCATGGTGGTAGTTTGACTTGATTTTAGTTTTTAAGAATAACTTGTTTGTTCAGATTTATTTTGACTAACTTTTCACAAAATTCACCTATGCTTGTGTCTTCTGTTACAATAGGAAGATATAAATGGATGAATTTTCCACGACATGTGACAAAGCTGATTGTTAACAAACAGGCTACCTGCAGTGACTTATGTTTCAAGTGGAACACAGTCATGAAAGACTCCATGAAGCACTTAAATAAAAATCCCTGTGATAAAATTCTGTATATTTTATTATTTTAACAGGGTTTCTATTTTTGACTCTTCAGCTATGTGTCTCTCTTTCCATATCCCACATAATGTTACTAGAAGTCTAATACTAAGAGCTGCTAATACAGCTGCCTACATAAATCTTAAGTGATATTTCTGTACACAAGTAATGCTATAGTTAGTGTGCCTTTATGAAGATAGAAAATATTATGAGCTATATGCATAAAAGTGTTTTTACAAAGCTATTTCCTAGCCTTCTCTTGTATATGGCAAGATAGCTATATACTAGATAAACTCTGGGTCTAGTGTGCTAGGAAACCAGGCTGGGTATGCAGGGGTAGTTTCACTGCATGCTCTTACTTAAGACAGTCAGGAAAGAGATGTTAACCAAGTTTACAGAGAAATAGCTGTTATTTTATTGTTCACAAGACTGTTCGTTCATGAGCTGTCTTTTTTTTGTATCTTCTAAAAATGCAAAAATATGTCCTTGTATCCTGATTAAGAAAGGAAATCCAACAATTTCTTTCAGATCAACTACTGTAACTTAATGTAATGTATTTCTTCATTTTTTGTGTTTGCAATGTTGAAGTAACAAAAGGAAGAAAAATGGAAACAGAGACCATTTTAAGTCTCAGACACCAACTCAAGGAAGCAGAGAATGAGCGGCGAAAGGCAGCACAATATGGCTTGCATTTATTGGAGTCCCAAAGTGAAGTTCAAAATCAGTTGGATCAAACACGCCGTGAATTGACTGAGAAAACTGAGGTGATGTTTTAAATGTTGAGTAAAAAAGAGCAGTCGAGAACATTGTTTTAGTTTAACTATTTTCTGAATGTCACAGGTGATTTAAATGCTTTTAGAGTCTAGATTAATTTTAATAAACCTTTTTAATTTCAGTATTTGTAGGGAGAGCTTTTTTCTCTGCTCTAAGATACTGAGCATAATTTTATCTCGCTGGGACAGAGTTTCATACCTAATTATGCATCCAGTGTTCAGTATTGTGTAGGATTAATTGCCTTTAATGAAAAATGGGTACTAAATGCTAAAGTAAATTTGGTTTAGAGCATGTGTTCAGCAATTCACTCACATTGTGCTTTCCCTGCAAGCTTTTGCTATCACCTAAAGCTGTAAAAAGAATGCTAGCAGCAAGACTGTATAATTGATTTCTTCTGTAGTGAAGTTGTCAAATTTTCTAAATACCAAGGGATTCTGAATTTATTAGTACATTTCTTGACAGCTGAGGGAAGAGTGTAGTGTTGAAATACAGAGGTATTATTTAGTCAGCTAGTTTTCTTCTTAGTAATTGTTCAATAAAATTCCCATCAGGAAAATCTCCACTTTTCCTAAGTGCTTTAATTTTGACATTTGTTTTCAGTCAGCCCATGCTTCGGATAGAACATTTCTCTTCATTGAGCCTCTTTCTGGCTATGTATCCATCCCTTCTCTTGTGATAGAGCTAAAATGTTTGTGATTGTGCTGTAGTTTTTTAGGAGGGGTTTACCAGCTGGAGATGTGTAGCGCTCTGCTATTCTGCATGAACACTAATTACTTAGAGCAGACTGATTCAAGTAAGCTGAGTGCAAGAGAGGCAGCTGAAAAGCACAAGTAGTAAGGAAGGCGGGGCGGGATCATCCTTTTCTGCAGACAAGCTGAGATGGTAGCTACTGTGTTGTGACGCTGTCCTCGGGTTGTAATCCTGTGTTATAGGCTGGAGCAGAGTTACAAGCTAAGCTTGTGTGAACCAGATCAATTAGTAACTTAGATTCCAAGGGTAGGGGGAAGGACTTGTGTGCTTTCTTATAGTAGAATAACATCTTGTGTGGGAACTGTGGTTACCCAGTAGATTCTTTTGAGCTTTTTGAATCTATGGTTCTCTGGAATCTGAGAGTCAAAGCAATTCCTGTGAACACGAGTGTAAGTTTTAACAGTAAGCACGAGACTCTTTCAGAAACTCTTTCTGTGTACACTTCTGTAAAAGTCTGTGTAGACATACCATGCTAGATGCTTTCTTGGGTCTGGCCAGCAGTGCACTCCCAAACCTTTTCCCTGCACTGTCTTTATCTTTGAGCTGAATTCATATCCTGTATATTTGAGAGCTAAGCCTGCCCTTGATAAGCTGGTGTCTAGGACACAAAGGTCAGCTTCATACCTGACAGCTTTTAGGTTTATTATCTTCCTTTTTTTTTAATTCTGGTTTGTGTTTTAAGAGTTATTTTATTAAAAAAAAAAAATCCTGCATCTTTAGGCTGATTTGGTTTTGGTGTTTACCTTTTCTGCTTTCAAAATTCTCCTTTTTTCATTTTGTTGTTCTTAATTGCTAGCTGAATGGAAGAGTACAGTGAAGCTGCCCTTTATAATTACCAAACATATACAATGAGGAATACAGGAAAGCTGATTAAAAAGTCCTTCTTCAATCTGGAAGGGTTGAGGACATTTATTACAAAGCAGTAGACACTTTAGATGCCTTTACCAAAAGCACTGAACCCAGCTGTTCTGCAGTAGGGGAACACTGATGAACTGTAGCCATCTTTAAGGTATTCTGGTTCCACAGTGGTAGAAAGGACATGTAAGCTCTCACTAACTTTGCTACACTTGCGCAAGAGATTCCTGGACCCTTCATGTTAGGTGCAAAGAAATACACAGTTTCCATGAAGAAGAGACTATTACACAGCCCAATATGTTATAAAATTTCAGAGCAGTTTGATGGGTTTTAGTTTTTTTGGTTGGGTTTTGTTGTTTTGTGGGGTGTCACATGGCTATGACAATTCCCTAATTGGGACTTCAACAAAAGGTTGAATGAGCTACAAGTTTTAGGGATTTAGTGTCTTGGTTCTGAGCCTGTATTTAGTACACTGTTCCCCAAGCATTTATGAATATTACATCTAGATTTTTTAGTATGTTATTTCTTTCAGAAATTTGAGCAAGAGAAATACTCTCTTCAGAGAGAAATTGAACTCAAGAATCGAATGTTGGAAAGCTTGAGTTTTGAATGCGATTCCCTTAAGCAACAGCAAAACATGCAACTGGATAAACAGAAAGAACAGCTTGCCAGAGCCTATGGACAAGAAATTGGTGACCTTAAAAACAAGGTATGGCAACTAATATGCACCTAAAATGTTGCTAATAGCACTTTAAAAAAATGTGTGCTTAGCTTATAATTGCATACTTCCTACCAAAACAAATCTAGTAAATAGCTATAACGTGAGGGTTGGTTGGTTTTTAACGAACAACTGTATAGTTACTTTGTGAATTACATTAAATTTCAAAGCTTTTTTTAAGCTTTTACTCTTAAGTTTTATTTCTAAGACTTTTTTTCTGTAACTAGAACATAGTCAAAAGTATTGTTTTCAAGAATTTATTATAAAATGGTACTACTTAGTTCTGAACTGTCTTTAAGTTGGAGAACCTGAAAGCAGAACTAGACGAAACACGGCTATCAGAGAAACAATTGAGACACAAAGTGGATCATCAGAAGGAAATAATTGCTGCCAAATCAGAAGAACTACATATGATGTCTGAACGTGTACATGAGACCATGTCTTCAGAAATGCTCAATCTTCAGATAGAACTCACTGAACTAGAAAATGTGAAGGTATGTGGCTAGTACTTAATTATTAGTAATGTAGGCTAGTTGAAGATAAAATTCTGTACTTTTGATAACTACATCTTTAGATGCTTTGTGTATATTGCTACCTTATGCTTGGCTTACTATTAAGCTAATATTAAGCTAAAAATAATAGCCTTGATAACTAGACTTTAGTACAACCGCTTCTTCAAGATACTGTTTTGTGTTAAAAATATTTACTACTAACAAACCTGTGTGGTTCACTTGGGCCTGCTTTTCTTCAAATTGTGTTTAAAAACTTTTTATTTCATACTCGATTCCTTTTTGTTTAAGGCCAATGTTGAAGAAAAGCTGAATGAACTGCAGTACAGTAAAGAACAATTAGAACTCATAAACAGTAACTTACGTAATCAGCTGGAGCGTCTACAGGGAGAAAAAGAAGAGAGGGAAAAAGAAGTTGTTTCTTACTGTAATGCATTAGAGGTATTCTCTTAATTTTATTCATCAGTGGTAGATAATCTCTGAATTCCACAAGTTGTGGTGCTAGCTTTTCAGTGAAATATAAGGAGTTCTAAGAGAGGAGTTCTGAGGAGTGAGAGGGCAAAAAGAAACTGGGCGGGGTGGGAAGGATATTGGCTAGTCACGTTTGGTATTGTGTGTTGCTAAATACTCTCTATATTGGCATTCTTTTGTGGAAGGCTGTATATGGAGATCCTTTGCACTGCAGTATTCTGCCTCATAACAGGGTCTTCTCATAGGTCTCTGATAGAATTCTCGTTTCTATTTCAAGTTCCTACTGAATGCCTTGGAAAACTTTATACTGGGGAGTAGAGGATTTGTGACTAAACAACACAACAAGTCGAATAGTATCAATACTATTAACCCGGCTGATAAAGATGAAAGTTTTCCTTTAAAGGTTCTATTTGTGCTCTTCTCTGAAGAACAAGTGGAATGTTAATCCCTTCAGGGAAACAAAATTGATTGTCCCTTACTGACTGGAACTGTAGGAAAAGTTAAGTACTGCAGTACAAGATAATCTGTGCTGAAGGCATAGGAAGTGAAAAAGAGGTGAAACTATCTGATTAAATTCATATGTGCAGTACATCAGATGCTTGAATGACTAATATCCTCTTTGCTTTAATCTAGAAAGCTCGTGAAGCTAATCAAGAGCTTCAGGTTCAGCTGGATCATGCAGTGCAACAATCTTTGGACCCTTCGAGTAAAGGCAATTCTCTCTTTGCTGAGGTACAATTACGCCACAGATACTTGAGAATATATGGACGAGAGAAGAAATAAGTTTTATTTCTTATATTGCATTGAAAATATTAGAGTATCTGTACCTGATCTGGCCAGCATGGGTCTCTATTCCTCAAATATTACTGCAGTGTTGAACTAACAACTGACCTGTGGAAAACTATGCACACTCTGAAGTGAGGAATTAGTAAAATTAATGGAATCACTTAGAGTTACCTGGCTATCAAGACAGAAGATGGGACTGGGTGTTCATGACAGTTCTGTCTGCAGCTCTTGGCTCTAAGTAGTTTTGTTCAGCTGGTAAGCCTTTAATGCAGAAGATAGCATGTGAAATATTACAAGATGCTGATAAAAGCTGCCTTCTAAAAACATGCTGAAAATGGCCACGATGTCTGAGCATTTGGAAAGGTTTTTTAATTAGTTACTGAAAAAAGTTCAACTGCTGTTAAATGCATAGGAAGTAATTTCGTTTTCTGACAATACCCAGGGAATGAGTTAAATTGGTACACAGTTTATATTTTTTTTTAACTATTTATTCTGATGCCAATGGACAAAACTACTCTACAGTAACACTGAAGCATATGAAATGTTTCTTTACTTTGATATCAAAAGAACAAAAGAAAAAACTGTTGCGTTTTACTGATTGGGCTTCAGCTGCTACAGTACTGTGTACTAACTTTTATGTCAGAGGTTATGACTGAAAATAGCACGTTTTCAAGTACTGTTGCTGGAAGAGCAGTATTTGCAGAACTAACATCAATTGCTAGACAACATCTCCTTATAAAACTCATCGTCCAAGTGACAAAAAGTGTTATTTTCATAGTAATAATTGTTAACAATGTTCTGTAGGTGGAGGACCGTAGGGCAGAAATGGAACGACAGCTGATCAGTGTGAAAATAAAATATCAGTCACTACAAAAACAGCATGCATTCACTAGAGAACAATTGCAAAGAATGAAGGTATGACCATTACTGTAATACTCCAGGGTTTCCTTGGGGTCCGATAAGGCAATGCTTTAGTACGCAGGCTAGGAGATTTGATTAGCTTTGAAATATGATATAGGAGCCTGGGGGGAGGGAAATGGGAGAGAAAAAAAACAAGGGAGATGTCATTGTGCTATTTGACTTCTATGGTACATCAGCATTTTTTTATTGCTACTAGTGCTACTGCTTTATCTTAAAACTCGAAGTTGTGCTGAAGGCACTATGTTTGCTTACTCTGGCAGTAGCTGTTAAATGGATAAAAGTCAAACACAACTCCTGTCAGTCAAACTGGCATTCGATTTGTCTTGACAATTGCTTTTTCTTTTCTTATTGAATTCTTGTACTACATGAATCATTGATTTGTGTGTTAACTGTGGTTGTCGTGAATGAATGTAAAGAAGAGGGCAGGCTTGTACTCTGTCCTCTGATCATACTGTTTTTTTTCCCTCTGGGTTGCTTTCTTGTTTTTATGTTTATCCATATTTTTCTTGCTTGTCCTTGCCTTTAGTGCAAGAATAAATCATAACTCTTGTCATACCTATTTAATTTACACTACGCTTCTATAGGATGATAGCCTCTTGGTTAATGCTGTTCAGAACTAGTTAGTAGAAGCTGATTTACAACATGGTGTAAAAATGATTTTTTTGATGCAGATTTTTTTTGATGCTGCAAAACTGTTGACTTTTTGCATGTTGGTCTTCTGATTTTCCAACACAAGAGTGGATCCTTTAATTTTGATAAAATACTGGATCATGCAGTTTGAGGAGAGTGCTTAATCATCCAGGGTTATGATAATGAGTAACACCAAAGATACACGTTTGTGTTATCTAGCTTTGGGGAGAAGTATCATAGAACCATTAAGGTTGGAAAAGACCTTTTAAGATTATCAAGTCCAACCATCAACCCGACACCACCATGCCCCCTAAACCATGTCCCAAATGCCATGTCTACATGTTTTTTGAACACTTCCAGTGATGGTGACTCCACCACCTCCCTGGGCAGCCTGTTCCAATGACCACTATTTCAGTAAAGAAATTCTTCCTAATATCTAGTCTAAACCTCCCCTAGTGCAACTTGAGGCCATTTCCTCTTGTCCTAGCTTGAAAATAAATAACTGAAACAACATTCATAATGGACAAGAAAAGAACTAATGATGCAGCAAAAGAATTCTCTTGTACTAAAAATCTGACCCTGAGACCCAAAGATGTTTGAATAGGATCAGTTTCTTCAGATACTTTCTCCTTGTAATGTGAGGGTGAGTCAGTCATACTGATCGAATGGTGTAAGAAACATTCCGAGTACTGGTTATTTTCACCAACAACTGAGGCAAGTTGCTATCCCTGCTCTGCTACTTAATGTTTTTGTTTGGAGTTGCAATTTGTACTCATTTGTGCCCATAAAATTTCTTCTAATACCAATATTGGAGATAGGTAGTGTCTTAGGACAGCTGTTCTGCTTAAGCTGCCATCTTATATCCTGGTTAGGATCCTTTCTGCTTTGTGTTGCACTGTCATGCTGTGTGTTAAAGCTCAGTCTATCGTTAACTGATCTCTCCATTCAGCAGCTGATTCCAACAGTGTAGTTAACTGTTGTTCCAGCTTTAGTTGTCAGAATGTGTGAATGTGGCATTTACTGATGACTTCTGAAGATCAGACTTCTGAACAGAATGCGAGCCGTACCCTTGTGAAAGGTTTACCATGTCTGGGGTATTTTCCACAGCCCACAGTATCCCTTCCAGTTTCTTAATGTTTCTGTGGATTGTTTTTATGTAGATCAACTGCAGATAGCAATTCTGACAGTTAGTAACTGGGCTTTTAAGTGAAAGAGGAAAAGGTTAGGTGTCTGCTTGCTTAGGAAATGTAAGGATAGTTTTAGCCAGCCAGTGGCATTTAAAATTTTGCCTCCCTTATGTCCTGTAGAAGCTATGAGGATGAGATGATTGAATCGTTCTTCAGCTCTAGTTTGTGTACAGAATCATCAACATCCTTTACTTGATACAGGAGATTCCACAGGGTAAATGCTCTTCTCTTGCTTCTTCTGATAATCTGTAGTCTAATTTGTTTCAGTTGATCTTTTCCCTGTGATTTCTCCCAACGTCCTCCAGTGTTACCTCATCCATACTGACTAGGCTGGTAAAAATGCTACAGTTATCACGAACGCTCTGTTAAGTCTTTCCGTTACTGTGTTTCATACTGGTTTTCCCGTTGTTTAAATGTCTGATGTATCATTTTTAATTGAATGTGTTCAGGCCCTCATATTATAATGTTGTTATGTTAACAGCATCAGAAAAAATACGCTATAAATGTGAGACTTCTCTCTGATAAAATTCTCCTTTTTGTAGTGACAACAGGTGTTCCTTTGCTTGAAAGGATATGTTCCACTGATGGAGTAGAAGAAGCTGAAATTCTTAGATTACTATTACAGAAGGCAATCTTAGTGTTATCTATACCTCAGAATCAGAACTGCAAAAGAAGGGTTTTTAAATGTGTTGGTGAACTAGGGTGTTTTTTCCATAAGTGAGAAGTTTTTGGTAGATGTGTTTTAGCTCTGATCAATGAGCCTGGACTGCAGATTGGTTCTAGCTGATTTGATGTTCAAGGTTTGAATGTGAAATGTTGTGTATGTCCCTGATAGTGTATTTATAGGTTCCTTAGTCAATACAGAGAAAGATAGGACACCTCAGGACTACGCTGTTCAGCTGTTCAGTAAGTTTTCAGCTGTCCTAAAGATTTTTAGTGTTGACCTGTGATGATAATTGTGAAGACTACGTTGTGAAGACTACTGGTTTTAAGCAACCAGTGTGCTCCTGTATTCAGGATTAGAATTACAAGGCTTGAGTACCCTAACTCTTCTGGGAAAGAGGCTGAAATTTTTCAGTCCCTTCACCCAGTATTTGTTGCAAGGAATTTTTTTTCCTCTTTTTTTTTCAGCTGCAAATGGCTACACTGCTACAGATGAAAGGCTCTCAGGCAGAATTTGAGCAGCTGGAACGCTTACAGTCAATGTTAGAACAAAAAAATGGTGAGATAGAAGATCTTCTTATGAAAGTGAGGCAGCTAGAAAAATTTAAGGTATGTGGTCTGTAATTAAGTGTAAAAGTCATAATCGGAAGTTAAAACATGAGAACAAGAAGGGTTATGAAAACTATCTGAAGTCCATGCTCGGATTGGAAAAGGGATCCAAAGGCTACTCATACCTTTATTTGACCAAAGTTCCACTTTACAGCTGCAGAACATACATTTCTGAAGTTCAGAGAAGCAGAAAATTCTACATCACCCAACCCTCAGCTTGGAGAAACAATATTTTCAAGGTTCCTGTGTGGAGCTCCTTCACATTTTACATAGTTATGTGTAGTGTTTGAAGTCAATTACTTGGTCGAAGTTCGCTGAGCTGTGGCGTCTGACTTTTGTCTTGGAAGATACAACCATTTCACATTTTTACTGTGTGTACTTAGACTTTGTCACTTTTTAGTCTCTCAGTTACATTGGATTTCTTGGGTATTTTTTCCTCAGTTTGTTTTAACTTTGCAATTGAAGCATGCTCTTTTCTAATTGCTTAATCATTCTTGTAAAGCAATTTCTTCAGTCCTCTTCTGCAACTTGAGAGCATCTTGTCAATATTTTGGAAAGTGAGAAATAAACATGAGAATACCTGTATGCACTATTGTAATGTTATTAATGCTTGTGTGTGTACGGAGTAAAAAAAACTGTAGCCTTTATTACGTACTTATGGACTTGTTTGGCCCTTTCTTAACACAGCTTTGGAATGTTAACTTAGGTGTATTAGCTTATGCATTAGGATTATGCTTTCCAGGATAGTGTCCTTTATCCTAGTGTCCTTCTGCGTTTAACTGAAGTGGCATAAAGCTAGGTTTAACCTGTTTTAGTAAGCAATTGAGACAGTTTGGTTGCTCTACCAGTTTTGTCAGGTATAAGCTTGATCACTATTTATTTTTGTCTCTATGCCATAAATAAGCAGTGTTAGGAAATCAAATGACTGATTTGAACAACCGTCAAACGTACCTGTAGTCTGTGACTGACAGCAGCCTACGAGACCTGTGGGACAGTATTAAATCTGAGAACCGCTTGTTCAGGAAAAAAACTACAAAGCAAAAACCTCGGAATGTCAAGTTACTGATGTATTTTATAGAAAGTTTACTGCATTTATGGCATCTGTACCATGAACCAACTTTCTCATCTAAAAAATGTAATAGATTTTGACATTTTGGCTATTGATTGACACGGGTTGTGTTCCTTACCTTGGGGTCCAGCTGCTGAAGCCTAGAAATAAGGCTGAAACAAATTCCCTGTGGGTTAACTAAATATCCTGTACTTTCAAGTAAAAACTAAGATAACTATTCCGCAGTGCTACTTGAAAACCTTGTGCAGGTTAAGTTGATTTTTTTATTTCTTTTTCTTTCAGTGACTGAGAGTGAACTGTCAATTTCTGTGCTACTTGACGTTTGTAATAAATGAAGAAGTGCTGAGAGCAACTGAACTCTCTTTGTATGTTTAAATGCCTCTATGATGAGGCTTCTCTATAGAAATGCATGGACAATTTCACCTAAGGACTAAGATAATGTGCTTCTGAAAGGTCACTGCTTGACAACCTGACATTTCTTTTCTTTATCAGACTTTATATGAGAATATGGAAGAATCCAGAGCTAGTAGTAGCTCAAAAGGAGGAGAGTCTGAAGATGGTTACTATGCAGATTTACTGCGAATGAAGCTTGACAACTCCAAGTAAGTACTTAAGTCTGAGATCTAGAAGTTGCTTGTAGTCTAGTTATGTTCTAGCTACTTGTTTTTATTCTCCCTTTTTTCTTACTGTTTGTCTGTATGTAGTCCATTGAGCATATGTGCAAATATGCTCATTGTCTCATTTTCTAATGCTGTGGAACCATCCGATATTCGTTGTAGGACTGAGTTGTCTTGTTTGTCATTTCACTTACTCTTGCAAAAAATAGTAGCAGAACTATTTTATATTATTGTTGCGTTCTTCTAGGTATGTTGTTAATACTCCTAGACACAAGATCACTTGGAACATTAAAAAAAAAAAAAAAAAAGAAAAAGTAACCTTTGAGGGAACTTTGTGAACCTTGTTAAAGTCTATAGAAGAGAGATAAATATATACAGCCTAAAAAGAGCCAGATAGTAGCATATGAAAAGTTTTGTTGGACTACCTGGTTGAGATGTGTTCTTGGTTAGTGAATTCCATATCTATTAATTACAGAGTCCACAGTGTTGGGCCTCAGGACTGTTTTCAAGCCCTCGGGTGGAAGTATTGCACTTCGGGCAGGCGGCAATGTGGGAACACTGTGGGACAATGGGTCTGCTGTGGGAATTCCTGACAAGTCCGTCACCTCACTGTTGGTGCTACTGTGAGAAACTGGCATCATCAGAGTTCCTTAGGATCCCTGAGGCATAGTGATCCAGTGCTTACGATGTGGATTTTAATGGTCTCTGAAACAGAGGCAAGGACATGCACTGGGTATTAACTTAATTATTATTCTGTTGGTTGCTTAGAGTAACACCTTTGTGTAAAGCTTGTATTGTCAGTTACAGAAGTAGTTGTATTAATTTATACACAGGATAGAAAAACCCTGATGAAATAGTGAATTTGTGGGTTAGGGAAAGTTGTTTTTCAAACCAGTGAAATATGCACCTATGTGGTATTCGGCACACAGCTTTGTTTTTAACAAGCGTTCTATCTCTGTTACTTAAACTCACTGCTCTGTCAAGTTCAAATGAAAACTTTCACTGTACCACAAGAGGTCTCTTCCATTTCCTGTTAGTGTATAAATCAGAATTTTATGTGAAGTTGCTGAATGCTTAGTTGACTTTGCACCTGCTGCTTTATTAAAAAAATAACAAAACCACACAAAAGAAACCCAAGTTTGAGTGACTGTATAATTTTCCTCCCACCCCAGCAAGGAAACTGAAACCCTGAAAAATGAACTATCCTTGCAGAGGATGAAAGCTCTGTATGAGAGCCAAAGGGTTCTGGAAGTTGAAAGGAAACTCTACACAAATGAGAGGCATTTGCAAGCTTGTCAGAGTGAGAATATGAACTTGCGAGTTATGCTGGATGAGCTAAAAATGAAATACGAACCTGAAGGTAAGTACTACTATTCCATATTAATTTTTTCCATATCTGGTCGTTTTGACCTTTGCAAGTTGACTGATGTTAAACAGGAAGACATTGGGTTAGTTCCAGATACAAGCTAATGTTTAAATGTCTGCCTTTTTGATGATGATGTGGTCCAAAAACTGCTGAACTGAAATAGTAAAGCCCAACGTTGCTCAAGGACCTTACTTCAATATGTGCACTAACATCAATTTCAGAAGACTGAAGAGTACCAACTGCAGTGTTCAGAGGCTTTACAGAGTATAGCTAGGTAACCATAATGAAGTAGGTGGGAACAAATTCTCAGGAGGTGCTTTTCATAATGGTAGTGGTATCTTTCTCGATGAGAAGTACCAGCTTTCTGAATGTAGGCAGCTGCTTACAAGCTTTGTAATATGTGCAAAGCATTTAGAGGAGAAACTGTTTAGTAGCTCAAAGGAATATGGAATAAGTTTTGACCAAGAGGCCCAGCTGAAAAAGAGCTGATACCTGGATATGTGCAGAAATGAGGGAATTGTAGCCTGCAGAGGAAGACGAACAAGGAATGAGATGGGTGAATTGGTTTTGGTACTTGTCGATACCCAAAGGATTTAATTATGTCTTGGCTGTGGAAGCTTACCTCGACAGCCTCCAAAATGGAAATAAAACAATTGAGCATATTCCTGTAGTTCACAGCATCTAATTAAAAGCCTTGGTAAAAAGGTAGAGTGGATGGGGAGAAAGATCGATGATGATTATTGTTATTATTATTATTGTGGGGGGTCTTTTTGAAGCTAGTATCTGTTGGGATGCTTGCTTGCTGAAAACAGAGTATATGAAAGGACATTTGTTAAGGGATGTAAGTTGTCTATTGTCTATTAAGAATTATTCCAAGGTCTCTAGTCATGTGAAACGTTTTTTATTAGTTTTATTATGAACATGCTGGTGGCAAGTTAATTCCAGCCTCACTTGTATATAAAAGTATATCCCTTTTTTCTTAGAACTGCTTAAGGGCACTAGAATTAAAAAGAAGAGGGAGAAGATTCCAGTGGACACTACTTGTGAATACTTGGACAGCAAAATTACTTCTGCAAAAGAAGCTGTTCTCATTCAGTTGCCAAGTAAGGGAGAAACGAAGATGAATTCCAGGAACTTGGAGGAAAGTGATGCTTCTCCAAAAAAACAAGCTCTTGAAGCACCACCAATAAATATAGCTCTTGAAGCAATGCAAAAAGTAGTTGAACCTGAAAGAGAAAGAAAGAGAGTTAAAACTAAAGATGAGAATCGTGATGCCTTTACTTCATCTAGCAGAAGTGGAAGTAATTCCTTGACTTCAGCTGCCCCCAGGTCAGTGTCAGCTTCTGTCTATGGTCAAGGCAATCAGCACAGACCTGCATCTCTTTTCTTTCGCTGCATGAACTATGCTATCCACTTCTTTATCTATTTCCTCAGTGTTGCATGCTCTGTAATTCCTCAACTCCGGCTGCCTGCATTGAACCTCTCAATACCTTTTAGAAAGACTAAAATGATGACTAATGGAAAAGACTCTTGAAACTGTAACAATCATGGAAATAACTTTCCCATTACTTGAAAATGTTGAAGGCGTGCAGATAGCATGACAGTTCACTCTGTTTGCTCTAACTTCAGAAATAGGACTGTTTTCTTGGTCCCTTCAAAGCTGCCATGCAACTGTGTTACGTACTGAAGTAGCAAAGGCAATAGGTATCATGCTTCAGTTTCATACCTAATTTCAGCCTTCATCAACTTTCAGATTTAGCTAAAAGCTTACAAATTATTTAAATGAAGTAATTCTTAAATTGAATTGGGTTAACAAAATTGGTGTTGTACAAGATAATAGGCAATTAATTACACTATTTGTGTTGTCAGACAACTGACTTGCACAATCTGGATGCATGATAACTAGAAACACAACTGCTAAACTAAGATCACGTTTTTCCCCTCAGCTGAGAATGTAAGTTGCGTTTTGATAGATGCTGAAGTAACTTAGTATAGTAATTAGCTCCAACTCTTTTATCTTGGTAAAAGGAATGCTGATTTTTTTTTTTTTACTTTCAGCTGATGCTTTTGTTTTGTGTTTATAATCATAATCTTAATAAAGACATGTTTGAGTGTTTGGGGGGAGGAAAAAAATCTGTGGTAGTATAGATGTTTTGAGCTTACTACTTGCTAATGTCTGCTGGTAAAAATAGTTTATAGAATCAGAATGACAGCAGCTTCAAAGATGGAAGAAGGCTGAACACATGGAAATCTGTACAGTGTAGCCAAAATTAATGGTGTTCAGAAGTAATTTGTTGTTTTGACTCAGATCCATTATTCAAGGCTGCTCAGAAATAATCTGGAAAGAG